CGCTATCAATGCAAAGTTCTTTGAGAGAAAATGAAGGCCATTCATGTCGACTGAAAGGGGCTTTTAAAGTTGAGTACAGCCCTGACAAAAGGGAAGGTACGGCTTGCAGAGGCCCTGAGAATGACTCAATGTTTATAACCTTGCCATGCACACCCCCAAGGAGGTTTGGGAACCGCAGAAAAGAGCCTAATGAAAAGGATAGTTCCCTCGCCACAAATAATACCGTCCTCTTGCCGCTTCTTCATTATTGAACAACATCCAGCAGTGTTTATATCTGCTGTTTTATCATCTGTTGTCAGCCAGGCTGAGATTCATCACGGTGAAATTGCATTTTCCAGCAAACCTGGATTGTTATTATTGCATTTCAGAATTCCTATGACTGCAGAACGTGAATTGAAACGTGGTAAAATGTTAATGGAGTTGGTAGTACTACATTTTGGGGTGTTTTTATATTGGGTTCATTACAGGGGTCTCAAGAGTTTCGGACTGAACGCTCCAAACAAACTTGAAAGCAAACAGAACATCGCGTGAGTTTATAAAAGTACTGCCAAATACACAGAAACGGATCTAGTTTTTTCGCAGTTTTACGAGAGAACGAATGCTTTAAAACTTAATTGGAGTGTCTTTTAAGACTGCATTTAAAACAGAAAATAAATAAACACAAAATTATATTTGACAATAACGAAATGTCAAAAATCGTCAAATAATATTCCAATATTCAATGTATTATAATTATTATTATTATTATTAAGTAATAATAATAAGTATTATATTCAATTAATGATTTAATAATTCATAATAATTAATATGAATAATTAATAATAATAATAATAAATACTGTTTTAATTAATACAATAAACAATAATAAATAATTTGATATAAATATAGTACATTAATTATATAATAACAATAATATTATATAATTAATAATAATAATACAATCAAAAATAATATATTTTATTAAATTATATAATAACAATAATATTATATAATTAATAATAATAATACAATCAAAAATAATATATTTTATTAAATTATATAATAACAATAATATTATATAATTAATAATAATAATACAATCAAAAATAATATATTTTATTAAATTATATAATAACAATAATATTATATAATTAATAATAATAATACAATCAAAAATAATATATTTTATTAAATTATATAATAACAATAATATTATATAATTAATAATAATAATACAATCAAAAATAATATATTTTATTAAATTATATAATAACAATAATATTATATAATTAATAATAATAATACAATCAAAAATAATATATTTTATTAAATTATATAATAACAATAATATTATATAATTAATAATAATAATACAATCAAAAATAATATATTTTATTAAATTATATAATAACAATAATATTATATAATTAATAATAATAATACAATCAAAAATAATATATTTTATTAAATTAAATAATAACAGCAATAATTCTAATAATAAATATAATATATTAATAATAATAAATAAATAACATTATACAAATATTATATTCAACAAATTATTCAATAACAATAATAACCGTACAATTACTGTTAAAACTATAGTCTAAAAGATTTTTTTTTTTAAATTGGACTGAGACCTGCTAGACCTAAATAAGTCCCAAATCCACTTTTAAATCCAAAGAACTGTGTGAATGCAAAGAGAAGTGGATTCTTTTACTCAGCTTACATTTTTGGTTAATAAGACTCACGCCCTTTTAGGCAGCTGAAAGCAAAATCAAACTAATCGAAACATTTAATAAACAAACACACAAAGAATGTGAGATATAAAGAGATTCTATATGCAGATTCCATCTCAGCTTATTGAATGAATACATTTTATAATTCTCTGACTAATTCCATTGGAATTTTTAATATTCCTTGCATTTCGAAAACAGCTCTCAAAAGCATATCATATATGTATTGATTCAACATCTACCACTCAAAGGTGAATGTAAATTTCTAGCAAATAAAGCATGCACCCCTGTCCTCCTTGTATCGTTTAGCTGACCGGTCGTCAAACTATTCTCAGCCCTGAGCGGGCGACAGACTCGCCTGCATTGATATACGGGCCTCTCTGAATGGCAGGCTCAAGCAGAAAGGAGATAATCCCACATAATGTGGACACAGTTTTCATTTCTTGTCACCCAATTAAACTGCAATTATCCCAAGTGGAAGAGCACAGAATGGCGGAAAAAACAGGAGAAGAATGAGAGATCGCAGCACCGCGGGACTCTTTCACTGAGACACATTAGCCCAGATTTTGGCCGAGCCAGAAGAAAGGAGAGCGCTTCTCGCACTTGGCAGTGCACAGCAAGATGTGGACCAGCTGCAACAGGGGGTTTACAACTGAATGCCCGCTCAACCTTTTTCCACTCTTTTTGTCCGTGCCATAGAGCAGAGGATAGAGGGAGTGGGAAAAAGACACACAAGTGTATACAGGTTGTTTCAAAGCGATGTGGCGTTTGCATGGGAGGCCTATTGTGTTTTCCGTTTGGAAGAGGACGTGGAGTTTTAAAACCCTAATAGTCCCTGTGGATTTGTAGTTTTCTCATGCAAATGTTCAGCGCACAATGCTGGAGCAGTGGCAAAAGTGTTTGAAATCACTGTCCTTCCCACATCACAAGAACCCAGATACATAAAAGACAACTTGCTTGACAACTTGCCACTCAAAATACAGAGCTTTCCAGTTTTGTGTGCAATAGGCATCAAAAGGTCCATCTGTGGCTGAGAAGAAAGTGATAAGATAGTTTTCTCATTCACCAAGGTATAGTCAAGTTACTTTGATTTCTATAGCTCTTTACACAAATTGTTTCAAAGCAGCTTCGCACTAATAAACAGGAAAATAACAGTGTTTATGATGTGAAATTCATCAATTATGAAATTAATTCCATTTCAGCTGTAAAGCAGCTCTACAGAAGACATTCAGCTTAATTTGAGCTCAGTCAAGATATACAATGTTGATTCAATTACATAAATAAAACCTTATTTATAGGCTAATGAGAAGATAAATCATGCATCGTTTTAATTAGGGCTGCAAAACGATTAATCACGATTAATCGATTCAAAATAAAAGTTTATGTTTACGTAGTATATGTGTGCACTGTGTATATTTATTATGTAAATACACACACATGTATATTAAGGAAAAATATGTTAGATTTATATATAAAATATTTATATATATATATATAAGTTATATACTAATGTTTACATACAATACATACAAATATATATTTTCTTAAATATATACGTGTGTGTATTTATATACATAATAAATATACACAGTACACACACATATAGTATGTAAACAAACTTTTATTTTGAATCGATTAATCGCGATTAATCGTTTTGCAGCCATATATGTGTGCACTGTGTATATTTATTATGTAAATACACACACATGTATATTAAGGAAAAATATGTTAGATTTATATATAAAATATTTATATATATATATATAAGTTATATACTAATGTTTACATACAATACATACAAATATATATTTTCTTAAATATATACGTGTGTGTATTTATATACATAATAAATATACACAGTACACACACATATAGTATGTAAACAAACTTTTATTTTGAATCGATTAATCGCGATTAATCGTTTTGCAGCCCTAGTTTTATCTTAACAGCTTAAACAACTATAAAAGCACTTGATTAGCTCAGGGTTTTCTTACTTTAAATAAGCAATGTTACTACTTTCTTTACATGACTTCACAGCCATGAATCACAAGTTAAAGGAATAGTTTGCACAAAAATGAAAATTTGTTGAAAATGTACTCCCACTCAGGCCATTCAAGATTAGGATGAGTTTGTTTCTTCATCAGATTTGGAGAAATGTAGCATTGCATCACTTGCTCAGCAATGGATCCTCTGCAGTGAATGGGTGCCGTCAGAATGAGTCTGAACATCTGATAACAACATCACAAGTAATCCACACCACTCCAGTCCATCAGTTAACATCTTGAGAAGACCCATTCACTGCAGAGGATATCCCTTTAAGTATTATGTAGATATTTTTGAGCACCTTACACAACCCCTAAACCTAAACCTAACCACTTCTCAACAATATAAACAAGATAAATAGCTAAGTAGATAAGTATAGAGGGTATGCATTGACCTTACTTTCCCACCGGAACACGCCCCCTCAGAGCCTGCTGCATGAATGGATTTAATAGAGAAACTGCGCAAACGCGAGTAAAACAAACGATTATCAGTTTAAACTAAAGTTTGTTGAACTCAATATAGTGTTCCTTACAACTTACCAAATATCCAGTGATCCATAAATATTTATATGCATCCAGGAATCGTGTTTTCTGACATTGATATGTGCCTGATTGCGATGCCGGGGAAATACATAAAGCAAATTTGCCTGTGAACACTTTGTTTAAATACAAAATAGGTTGGTCTAAATCCGGGTGATCACTTATATCAATGTTATATATATCGCCATATCGTCCAGCCCAAAAACTTATATCGTTTTTGTCAGTGTTGTTTATTTAAATACATCCAGTTATAAGATGTTACATATTTAATTGATGTGTTGTCAATACGATATATTATAATAAAATATATAGGGTATGATTTTACTGCAAAATTCAGCATATTAACATAAAATGATAACTGCAAATCCGTGTTTCGTTGCCTGGAGTCCATTTGTTTCTGTGAATTGCAGCGCTTCATTTGCTTCTCTCTTCTCTAGTTTTCGGCAGTCTGTAAAAATATAGCTCAGATTTCTTTTCAGACCTATCGCAAAGCTCTTTCTCGTTTGAGGTGCTTTTTGTCACAGCATTCACGCTGAAAACCAATGCTGCCGTTCAGCCTGCGTCCCAATGTGCATACTATCCACCCTATCTGCCCTAAATAGTATTGAAAATTACTAACATCACACAGAATTTAGGATGGATAGTATGCACACTGGGCTCTTTTTCCACTCAGTGGGCGGAGCCGCACTCACTCCAGCTGACGGTGACGTCACGTGCATACCCTCTGAAGTAGCGTCCTCATTCTGGAGTACTGCTGTACTGCATACTTATCTGTGCGCAGCGCAGTGCGTACTGTAGTACGCAAGCGATCTGCGCCTGTGTGCTGGAGAGAGGGGGATGGGTCATTGAGTTCATTCGCACTACAGCAGATCCGCTGTCTCTCTCGCTTCAGGAATATGTGTCAGATGGATGGCGAGGCGAAAAACAAGAGCTTTTAAAACATGGTGCATACGGTACGCGGCTCCGCGCTTCGCTTGACCTTTCATCAGGACAAAGGAAGTCGATGAGCCGCTCCTGCCGTTTCCAGGTCAGCCGAGGAGACTCGCCGGTGCTCGATAAGCGGAATAATACCGAGCGAGGCGATGAAGCGCCGTGAATGATTATGGCCGATAGTCACCGAAGGGACACGGACAGAGGCAGAGGCAGGATGGCATCAGGATACTCGCAGCAGTACGCGAGCGGCAAAGCGTCAGACATACAGGAGCTGGCGTCCAAGCGCGTGGACATCCAGAAGAAGCGCTTCTACCTGGACGTGAAGCAGAGCACCCGCGGACGCTTCCTGAAGATCGCCGAGGTGTGGATCGGCCGAGGCCGGCACGACAACATCCGCAAGAGCAAGCTCACCCTCTCCATGTCCATGGCGCCCGATTTGCGCTACTGCCTGGGCAACTTCATCGATTATTACGCGCACATCGGGCTCCGAGGATGCCAGGCGCCGGAGGGGCAGAGCAACGGCAAGGGACGCGCACCGGAGCCCCGCCGGAGAGCAGCGGATCCGGCGGCGTCCCCCAGCGGCTCTGCCGCGTCCGAAGAGCAGACGCACCGGGTGCTGAAGAGCGAGTTCATCGAGCGCGACAACAGGAAGTACTACCTGGACCTGAAGGAGAACCAGCGCGGCCGGTTCCTGCGCATCCGGCAGACCGTCAACCGAGGACACGGGAGCATGGGGTACTACGGGCAGGGCATCGAGCAGACCATCGTGCTGCCGGCGCAGGGCCTGATCGAGTTCAGAGACGCGCTGTCGCCATCACTTGCTCAGCAATGGATCCTCTGCAGTGAATGGGTGCCGTCAGAATGAGTCTGAACATCTGATAACAACATCACAAGTAATCCACACCACTCCAGTCCATCAGTTAACATCTTGAGAAGACCCATTCACTGCAGAGGATATCCCTTTAAGTATTATGTAGATATTTTTGAGCGCCTTACACAACCCCTAAACCTAAACCTAACCACTTCTCAACAATATAAACAAGATAAATAGCTAAGTAGATAAGTATAGAGGGTATGCATTGACCTTACTTTCCCACCGGAACACGCCCCCTCAGAGCCTGCTGCATGAATGGATTTAATAGAGAAACTGCGCAAACGCGAGTAAAACAAACGATTATCAGTTTAAACTAAAGTTTGTTGAACTCAATATAGTGTTCCTTACAACTTACCAAATATCCAGTGATCCATAAATATTTATATGCATCCAGGAATCGTGTTTTCTGACATTGATATGTAAGTAATCCACACCACTCCAGTCCATCAGTTAACATCTTGAGAAGACCCATTCACTGCAGAGGATATCCCTTTAAGTATTATGTAGATATTTTTGAGCACCTTACACAACCCCTAAACCTAAACCTAACCACTTCTCAACAATATAAACAAGATAAATAGCTAAGTAGATAAATAGAAGTATAGAGGGTATGCATTGACCTTACTTTCCCGCCGGAACACGCCCCCTCAGAGCCTGCTGCATGAATGGATTTAATAGAGAAACTGCGCAAACGCGAGTAAAACAAACGATTATCAGTTTAAACTAAAGTTTGTTGAACTCAATATAGTGTTCCTTACAACTTACCAAATATCCAGTGATCCATAAATATTTATATGCATCCAGGAATCGTGTTTTCTGACATTGATATGTGCCTGATTGCGATGCCGGGGAAATACATAAAGCAAATTTGCCTGTGAACACTTTGTTTAAATACAAAATAGGTTGGTCTAAATCCGGGTGATCACTTATATCAATGTTATGTATATCATTCAGCCCAAAAATGTATAGTTTTTGTCAGTGTTTATTTAAAAACATCCATTTATGCAGAATATAAGACGGTAAATATTTAATTGATGAGTTGTCAATACAATATATAACAATACAATATATAGGGTATGATTTTACCACAAAATTCTACATATTAACATGAAATGATAACTGCAAATCCGTGTTTCGCTGCTTGGAGTCCATTTGTTTCTGTGAATTGCAGCGATTCATTTGCTTCTCTCTTCTGTAGCTTTCAGCAGCCTGTAAAAAATATACCTCAGATTTCTTGTCAAAACTATTTGTACAGTCAATCGCAAAGCTCTTTCTTGTTTTAGATCTGTTTTGTATTCTGTCTCAGCATTCATGCTGAAAGCCAAAGCTGCTATTCAGTCTTTTTGCCACTCAGTGGGCGGAGCCAAAGTCACTCCAGCTGACGGTGACGTCACGTGCATACCCTCTATTGTCAAAATAATAAAAAAGTGTAGTATTTTATAGTGCTGTTTTGTATTCAGTTATTTTGACTGTAAATGAACTGGACGGTGATATATTTACGACAGTGAATTCCACTCATTTACTGTAGGGGGCTCTAAATTCGCAAAAATACAGAAACTACATTCAGTTGCTTTAAAGATTTGTTGTTGTTCAGAGCAATGAGTTATAATGTAAACAGACGCAGATGGGCCTGTTTTGCCTTTCTATGCGAAACATAAAAGTCTGGACTACAACTACTGACTACTGTCTTTACTGAAAACTATGGACCATCTCCACTGTTATTGCTCAGGCAAAAGATACGGTTCACGCTGTGACAACATGCCCCAGAAAGTTGTCACAATGACAACCTGTCATTAAACAAGCTTCTCAGCAAACTTTAAACAGTAAAACAATTAACGAAATGTACAATGTAATGCAAAATAGTATGCACTTTCATTAATTTGCATTTCAAAATTAAGTATTTTAATAAAATATAGACACATAGCCATAGCACATAAGCAATACTTTCATTTTCGTTCAGTACCTTCATTTTGATTGATGTCACTTGATGTTTCTGCTTAAACAACTCTTCCTTTTTTACTTCCATCAGCAACTTCTTTTCTTGTTTCTCTCTTCTCTTTAAAGATGCACTTCGGGATTATCGCCATCTATGGTTGAAGCATAAAAATGCACTTATTTTGCATCAGTTGTGTGGCATAATGTTGATTATCTCAGAAAATAATAAAAAAAGCAAACATCATGCAGATGACCACAGATGACCATTGTTAAAACTGATATATTTTTTGAAAATATATTTTGAAAAATATAAATATATAGCCCATTTTTAAAAGCATTCAAATATATATTTTACCCTCCGTATATTTCAATCCAAGAAAATACTTTAACATGTCACATTTGAAAAAAAAAAAATTTAATCTGTTGTCTACAACACATTTGAATAAAAATCAGCAAGGAGACTACTTTATAATATATTACTTCAACTTCACTGAGCTGTTTACAACATATATTTAACATAAATTAAAATATATTTTGCCTGGCCAAAATATATTTTTTTCTGCATATGGGTTTGTTTACTTCTGTAAAATAGATCAATCTAATCAAAAATGTTTTATACAATGTGCATGTGCTGTGTATTTTAATGCTGACATTGCAGGCCAACTGGAGTCAGTTCTCCACAGTGAGCCTATGTAGACGGTACACACTGAGGCAGAGCACTAGGTTTTGGGAAAGAGGCGAATAACACCAAAGAACTCTCCACTTTCTACACTCAGAAGCCTGACACCATATAAAACACGCTGAATGCGTAGGAGAATGAATGGCTTTCTGTTTTGTGTCAGACATCACATCTGCTTCTACAGAAAAAGGAGAAGTGTATGGAGAAAGCCGGGCATTGTGATGAGATAATAGGATGGATGAGAAACATTGTGAAGTTTAAGCTGATTCCAGCTCAAAATGCTATCATTACGTCCCGCTCTCTCTCTCTGTATCGGCCTGATATAAAACGGAGAGACGCGCGGTGATGCTGCTGATAGAGGAGCAGCTATCAGGTGGCAGTCTGGGTAATTACAACTCTCTGTTTGGACCGGGCTGTGATGCAGCCACGATAAGCTGGAAGAATGGAGAAAAAGCAAGCGGGCGATAATGCACCGGCTAAATGCTTCAAAATAGTGTATCATCACAATGCCTGTGGGGGGAAAAGACTCTGATTTCTAAACCGCAGGGGTACGAAAGTGGAAACGCTGAATACTTCTCCCTGCCCCCTCCAGTTTATTCTTCAGTTAAACATGTAGCTCTTGGGAGACGCCGGCGAAATTTGATTTGACAAATGGCTCAGAAGGTCGCATGGTAAACGGCGTGAGATAGTCGACGTGAGCCAGCCTCGAGGAAGGCAGATACTGTCAGACGGATCGCAGAACTCTTTGACTGAGACATGCCTTATCGCTCCTCCTGTTTTCTCACTGTACATCATTGCCTTGTACTCTAATGTTTCAGAGCGTCTGTCGGTTTAGTCACCGATTAGTCTGAGAGGACCAGACTAGGAGAGAGCCAGAATTTTTCACGAGGACACCTAGTGATCATGTCATGTTTCCACAGATTAATGACATTTGGATAGAAAATGTTAATATTATTATTTTTTTTTATTATTATTATTGTAAATCTTTTTTTCACATTATTATTTTTTTTTTTTTATTATTTTTATTATTATTTTTTTTTTAATTCTGTGCTGGATATTTGTATCCAAGCCTAACGAAAGATTACAACACAAACACGACTTTATCAAAAGCAGCAGTGACAGAAACTCACAGATCTAGTTTCAGTCCAAATGCCTGTGAGCTATTTGTAGTATTTTGTTTATCTTGTAAACATGTGATTATGTCTATAAATGTGTGGGCTGGAAATAGTGCCAACTTCTGCATAATTTTTAAAACCCATGACTGTAATGATTCAGTCGAATTAAATTCTGTATTTTTCAGTTTCTTTCACTATTGTTCTTTAGTTCATAATTGAGCATCTGCATTAGTAAAAATCAACTTTCAAGTAGAAATTAAACACAATTGGTTATACTTTAAGGACTGCTGCTGATATATTATGCCATAAAGTTGAATCTTAAGCCGACTTTATGCATAATCTTCTCTTTAAACTTCATCAGAGTGAGAAATCTGTAGGAAAATGGAAAAAATACTGGTTATTTTCTGCCAGTTTACAGACATTTCCTTTAAAACACAGCATGCAATGCATAATTCAAAATACAAGTACAACTTTTTTTCTTCTTCATATTAACACAGTAAATATTGCCCTATTTTATGGACTTTTATGGACCCTTTCACCTAAAAAAGCATGAAGTCCAAAAAATACAATAACAATTTAAAAAACTTGTTTGTTTTCTACCATGCAGTGGATCTGTTGGCTCATTTAGGCCATGCAGTTACACATCTCAAACTAGAGGAAGGGAGTATATATGATAGAGCATCTGATAAGAGTCACTTATATTCTCCAGCCTCCCTGTAATGACGACTCTTTCATCAGTGAGAAAGCGTCTCCACACCCCAGTTTTAGTTTGAAGTGCTCTATTGCAGTCCTGTGTCACTGAGAGATGACATGATAAGCAAAGTGTACAACTTCTACAAAGAAATGCCCATCTCTTTATGAAAGTAGTTTACTTCCTGTGAATCGCTTCCTCTGCTGTTTGAGACACGTTAAAGTCTGATTCAAGTTCACATGGAGTTCATGTAAAACTCACAGTCAAAAACTCAAATGAAAAAGGTTCGGCTGTTCCTCAAGTTTCTCAAACTGACTTTATTCACTCCTCTTTTATGTACTTTTAATTATTTACATTACATTACAGTAAAGGAATGTGTAAAAACTATTTATAAGCTGAACCTTGAAATGTCAATGTGTGTGTGTGTGTGTAGGCCTACACACACACACACACACACACACACACACACAAACACACACACACACACACACAAACAATAAACATGAATAAAAATTTAATATTTATAAACAATATAAAATTTATCTTTCTATATGTATACATATTTAAATGTATACAATTTGTTATTCAAATTCATTCACACATTCATTCATCACGTTTACACACACACACACACACACACACACACACACACGTCTGGTTTGCTATCCTTGTGGACACACATACAATAAACCTTAATAAAAATGTACATTTATAAGCAATATAATATCTACAAACATTTAGAATAATATATAATTTATCAATTAATTCTGTTATATATCAGTCAACAGACCACCTACACGGTACCTGAGATATTAAAAAAGCATATAATTGATATAACTAATAATCAAAATTAAAATAATTTTTGGTACTTGCTAATGAAATGTGTGTGTGTGTGGGTGGG